GAGAGAGAGAAAGATATATAGATAGAGAGATAAATAGATAGATAGATAGATAGAGAGAGTGAGAGAGAGAGAGAGAGAGAGAGAGAGAGAGAGAGAGAGAGAGAGAGAGAGAGAGAGAGAGAGAGAGAGAGAGAGAGAGAGAGAGACAGAGGGAGAAAGAGAAAAAGAGAGGGAGGGAGAGAGAGAGAGAGAGAGAGAGAGAGAGAGAGAGAGAGAGAGAGAGAGAGAGAGAGAGAGAGAGAGAGAGAGAGAGAGAGAGAGAGGGGGAGGGAGAGAGAGAGACAGAGAGACAGAGAGAGAGTAGAGAGAGAGAGAGAGAGAGAGAGAGAGAGAGAGAGAGAGAGAGAGAGTAGAGAGAGAGAGAGAGAGAGAGAGAGAGAGAGAGACAGAGAGAGAGTAGAGAGAGAGAGAGAGAGAGAGAGAGAGAGAGAGAGAGAGAGAGAGAGAGAGAGAGAGAGAGAGAGAGAGAGAGAGAGAGAGAGAGAGAGAGAGAGGACTGGCATCACAGACGCCGCACTGGCATTCCCCCGCCTAGCCTTCCGTGGCACTACAGGTGCTCCAAGTTCGCCTCACCTGCTCGGAGGACTTGGCTCCGGGTAGGTCGTGGTACGATCGCTGCTTCATCAACTGTGGCCACCAAGACTTGGTGTTCTTAGACGACTTACTTTTTAATTGTCCCTGAGTCCGCCTTAGTATTTTTGGGATGTATTTATAGAATTCTCGCGACAAGCGCGACTCCCCCAGTTTCTGTCCCGCTGGACGAGGATCAAGGTCCTCCCGGGTTTGAGGTCTGGCACACTGCGCCGAGGAATCGAACAGAGACCTGAGCTCATCTTGTCTCTGGCTCGGGTCATCTGCTTGATGATTTGTCCAAACTGTTTCCCCCTGGACACTGCACGCGCTTCCATTTGGCAAAGGGGGAGTGCCATGTCCCAGGGGACCAAATTCTGTTTCCTCCAAAACTTCCATGACCTTTTCGGAATCTTTCTGAAATGTGTTATCTGTATTTAGAGCAGTTATAATATCCGACAGTTGTTTTTGACTGGTTTGCGCTTCGACGCTATCTTTTTTCTGTGGTGACTCACATGAGGGCGTCGCGTTTTTAGTCTCTTCACACTGCGACTTGCTTTCCAGTTGGGTTCTGATTCCATGATTCCCTTCACGTATACAGGGCTTCTCTACTGTAACTTCCGTATCGGGTCTATTGACAGGCAACACTTCAGAATCGAGCTCTGAATTTTCCTTGGTGTTAGCTCCAATTTTTGGTGAATTGGCGAGCAGTGATATATTGCCAGATTGCACATTAGCAGGGTCGGGAGAGCAGGGTTTATAAACCAGTCGTTCTGATGCTGCCATGAGTCGGTTTTTTATCTGTGCGACTGTTGGTCCTGATTGGATTTCTGGAGGCGAGCCTGGCTTTGTGGGACTGCTAGACTTTAGAGCTGAGGCAGGTGCGGTGTGAGTGGTGATGGTGGCTGAGCGAGGCCGCAGTAAGTCCGAAGATCCGGAGGCGGCTGTCGAAGGCGAGTCTCTAGGGTTGCGAGGCGAAGACGGAAAGGGCGAGAGACCGCGAGAGGGGGTCCAGGGACCACAGCTTTCTACGGTGGAGGTCCTCGAACGCTGCCCTCCTTTTGGAGTTCCTATTAGGGGGGACGGCGAACCCGTCATGGGTGTGTTGTGGGCGTGGGGAGTGTGTAGGTTAGTGCTCTGTGCTGCCCCGCCCACGCTGACGCGATAGACCGTGGAGTGGTGCGGAGAGACGAGGCTGCGGTTAAAGATGTAGTCATGGGGGAGCGGGCGACGCAAGATGCGGTGTAGGGTGAACATCTTGATGGCCATTCGGAAGTCCTGAAGACAGAAGAGGGCAGCATTATCGTTAAGGGAATAATTCACGAGGAATGCGGCCAGATGAGGCACACTTATTCGCCTTCACGCTTACAGCGATTGCAACGCTAAACCTTAAAAACAAATCCACAACTAACCTTCATGTGGTAGGCGTAGAGAAGCGGGTTGATGGCGGAGTTGAGGTGGCTAAGGATAATGGTGACATTCATGATGAAAGGCGGCACAGTGCAGCTGCTACAGAAGGCCTGCACACAGTTGATGGTGTAGAGTGGGAACCAACTGAACATGAAGAACAGCACGATGATGCTCAGGCTCTTGGCGGCTTTGACCTCTCTTCGGCTGGCGTGGCCCACCTGTCACGAGAGACGGCAGGTCAGAGATCCTGGCGTCAGGGAAAGGCACCAAGTTGTGTATACTAAGTATACTGTATGTGGGTGGCTATCAATGTCGAGTAAGCACAAGATACAAGCAAGAAGAGTCTTCGTAAGGAGGGAAATAAATATGGTGCAGGCACTAAAGAACTAATGATACTATAACTAAAGCTAATGAACCATATGATAACATACATACCAATCATAGACAAATATACACATATATGCATGTATGTATATATATATAGTATCTAAATATAAGTGAATCCATACATTCACACACG